ATCAAATGCAAGGATTATTCAGGATTATTATCTCATTCACATGGTCCTGCTTAATCAACTGCCTCCACTTCATCTCGACAAATGGTTTCTCCTCTCACCCCATCCCAGGCATCTGCGGAATTCTCCAGGGTTCCATCCTCGGCCCTCTTCTTTTCCTCATCTATATGCTCCCACTTGTTGATGTCATCCACAGATACGAGGTAAACTTCCACATGTATGCAGATTACAAATAAATCTATTTTGCCTTCTCCAGGATCAACTCCTGGTCCACCGATGTTCTATCAGCTTGTCTGTCAGACATCAGGTTCTGAATGAGTGCAAACATCCTGCAGCTGAATATGTACAAGATGGAAGCCATGCTCCTGGGCTCCCGTCAACATCTTCACTCCTGTGGATCTGAATTCTTCAACTTCCTTGGGCTCTCCCTCAGACTCATCGAACCAGTGCACAATCTAGGTGTCTGGTTCGACCCCCAGCTGTCCTTCCTCCCCCACATCCGGTCTCTGACTAGGACCTCCTTCCTCCACCTCTGCTACATTGCCTGTCTCCGACCATACCTTAGCCCAAATGCAGCCGAAACCCTCGGACATGCGTTTTGTCACCTCCCATCTGGATTACTCAAATGCATGCCTTAATAGTCTCCCCGGCTCCACTATTCAAAAAATCCAGCTCATTCAGAACTCTGCTGCCCACATAGTTACCCAGACCAAACTCCATACCCCATCAGTTCTGGCTGGGGTCCACTGGCTTCCCATCACTGAATTGATCGACTTCAAGAACCTCACACTCGTGTTCAAATCCATTCACTCCCTGGCACCTCCCTACCTCTCCAATCTCCTCACTCCCCAATCCACTACCAGCACCTCCGCTCAACTGGCACCAACCTACTGCTTGTCCCTCGCACCCTCTGCTCCACCACTGGAAGGCATGCTTTCAGCCACTACCCACTGAAACTCCGAAAAACTCTCCCTCAATTCCTCTGCCTGGCCCCTCCCCCCCTCCCCCGGCTCGAAGTCAGGCTCCTCCACTGTTAAATCCTAGAATCATAGAATTATACAGCACAGAAGGAGGCCATTTGGTCCATCATATCTATGCCAGCTCTTTTAAAAGAGCTATCCAAATCAATCCCACTCACCCATTAAAGGACATTAAAGACCCTTGGCATTACTTGAAAAGAGAAGATAATGTCTCCTCATGTCCTGACCAACAATCACCCAGATAAAATTGGTTACTCACTTCATGGCTGTTTGTGGGATATTACTTTGTGCAAATTGTATGTCATGTTCACCTACACAATACATAGTTCCTGGACTTCACGGTAAAATCCTATGAAGCACTTTGAGACAGTTGGATGCCATGATACGTCATTATATCAAATACAAGGATTATTATAATCAAGATAATGAGTGTGGACTAGGTTCACTCCACATCTCAGAGCGATCAGACTTAAGCGCTCTGAGACTCTACTCCGCGAGGAGGGCGCTATATAAGTGCAAGTTGTTGTTATAGCCAAACAAGACAACCAATTTGTATCCTGCAAGCAGCCATGACCCTTATTTTATTTGGAGAATTGTTGCCTAGGACACAGGAGAATTGTCCTTTTCATCAGTGTTATAGGATCTTTAACTACCTGAAGAGGCAGCAAATCTTTGGTTTTCCATCTCATCCAAAGAATGCCATGTGCAAAAATTCAGCACCCCTTCATTGCATTGGAGTGTCAGTCCAGAATGTGATTCAATGTTTAAATGTCGGGCTTGAACCTACAATCTTTTCACTCCAAAGTAAGAATACTATCAACTGAGTCAAGATGACACCTGCAAACCAGCAACGTAGGAACCAATTTTGATTTGTGTGACATGGAAACACTAATAGACAACCTAAACAGCCTAATAAGAATTTTGACATAACTATTTCAAAAATATACAGTGGATTGCTATACTAGTGTTGTAACAACATTTTCGCAGAATAAAAAACTACAGAAAGACACTAAGGTCCCAAATGAAATGAGATAACTCATAACCTTATATTTAGATGTAACATTAGTATTTAATTTTGTTCATTTAATAATCAGGGATGACAATGCTCTCTTTATTTAACTATAGGAATAACACAATATCCACGACTAAGAGAAAAGAAAGGAAGGAGGAATGAGATCCACAACATTTAAAAATAACATAATATACAGGTAGATATGTGGCTTCAGCCCTTAAACTCGTCCAAAAAACACAGCCACTGCACATTACAGTATATCCTGTGAAATTTTTTGGGACATCCCCCCCAATGTGAAAGACATTATATCACATTTAAGGATTATTAAGAGTGCAACCAACGGAGCCAGGTTGACAACTGACATCAAAGACTGAGTGACAATCTGGGACAACATCATTCCGTGCCAAGTGAAGGCAATGCATTCGCTTGTTTAACCATCTTTCAGAACTTGCATCAATTTTCCACGACAGACCTTTATTCGAGGCGTGCACAACTGGAGTTCGGAGGTTTGCACAAACGGAGGTCAGCTCAGCCCAGACCTCTCCCCTCCCCCAAAATGAAATTTTCCGCTAAACAGCGAAGTCTCCTCTCGAAATCCCATCACTGTTCACTTGTGTTTATTCTTTCAGCCCAAGGAATGTAGGGCTCTAAACACTGATACTTTAGAACACTTTGAAAATAAGCATAAGGATGAAAGGGAAACTTAAACGACAAGATCCCCCAAGAATTGCAGCAGGAGCATTGCACACGATAATGAATTGAACATGATTTCAAAAATGCATGGGGGGGGGGGATTAAGTTGACTTCCTTTTGTGCACGTCCACGAATTATTGTATTCAGCAAAGTGACAGGTGCAGCAGTAACACCAGCCCACTCCAGCCCTACCCAAACTACTAGGGTTATTGGAGATCAACACCCGCGCCATAAGGATGTGCAGTAGATTGTGTGCAATTTTTGAATCCTCGGTAATTTGTGGGAAAAGACGTGTTGGTGAGATGAATCATACAGCAAAAAAAGCATTGCGAAAGAGTGAATTTTAAGACCACTGTTTGTTCAGCAGGACTTGTAGTGGATTTAAAAAAACAATGAGCCCGTGGACCGCAATAAGCATCTTCTTTGGGCTACCACTTCCCATTGGACACCAAAGGCAGAATAAATGCACATGATTTAACATAGCTTGTTTTAACGGTTTCACACCATCCCCCTTCCTATTAAAGATTTTTTGCAGATCCCCCCCCCCCTCGGCCTAAAGCTTATAACTTTAGTTCAGGTGATGAACAGTCTTTTTGCAACATTGCATTAATATAATTGTGACTTGCAATTCATTCTTTCTTGAAAAGTTTGTGTTATTGCTGTAACTCCTCCGCTGTGAGGGTTACAGATGACAATGGGGGTGAATAACAATGACTTTGAGTAACACTGTAATTATAATTGCAGAAATGCTCTTCAAGCGAACACATCCGCCAGAGCACAAAAGGGTCACAATTCTACAAAGCGGCACAATACGATCGTTGCTTTTGCTATTTTGTTTGCTTGCCTGTGCACAAACAGTTTTATTTTATTTATTTCTCTTTCGGTCATTTCAATAAGAATGCCAGACACCAGTTACCCATTTCCATTCACAAGCGGGGACTGATTCGAACAAGCAGAGAAACTAAATTGCGCTGTTTAACTTGGATTCCAAGGACAACACCCAGTGCAGTGCGCGTCGGTTTAGTTCAACAGTGGATGCACCATTTGAGGACAAAACACCATGTAGCAGTGTGGAACTGAAGAGACTTTTTAGAGGATAATGCCAAAATAATTAAAGTTGCAATTCGTTTAGCGTCTCCTGTGAAGTCTGAGCCCTCCCACCTGCAGGTATAACTGGGCAGAATCAACAGTTATCAAAAGCCAATTAGTCCCTGTGTGAACCTTCAAGAAAAGGAACGCCTGCGTTTCTAAGGCATCCACTTGCAATGCTTGAGGACAATAAGATGGGATAAGGGGGGCATCCCGTGTCCAAACAGTCCAACTCCCATTTGCTGCTCCCTCTATCACAGCAACTCTCCTTCCCCGATTCTTTACTCTTGTATTTCCGAATTATAAATCACCACAATTCCTATCTATGTTTTCTATTCTCCTTCAATAAATACTTAACTTATTTGGAATCCGGGAGGCTTTCTTGTTCCCTCCTCTCTCTCTCTCTCTCTCTCTCTCTCTCTCTCTCTCTCTCTCTCTCTCTCTCTCTCTCCTCTCTCCTTACAAATACTTTTTCTTTTTAAAGATATACGAAAGACTCGTTTGACTTTCTTTCTTTCTTTCTTTCTTCCCACTCTCATTTTTCACGTTAACAGGTTCTGTGGTGGGAAAACGCCTTAAGCATGTCAATCTCCCTGTACCTGATCCCCAAACTCCCCAGAATTGTTAGAACACCACTGTTTCAACAGTTCTTCTGGGGAAATGTTCTTTCACCATTTATTATGAGGGTAAAACTATAGTGTGATATTACACCCCATAATAATGCAGTTTGATCGGTGTATTATTAAAATATGAACATTATAAATTTAATGATTATTTGTGGGTCTTTGCTCTGACTAAATCGACTGTCTGGTTTGCCTATAAAGTACACAGTCACTACACTTCACAGTAAATCGCTTGAAGCCCTTCGAAGCACTCCCTACCTGGAAGGCGCTATATATCAAATGTAAGGGTTATTGCTATTATACTGCATATCTGAGCTGATCTCACTCGCGCTGTTTAAACATTTAAGTCGGACACCTGGTATGAGAAAACAATAAAATTCACAATTATATTCAAACAAATATTCAAAACGTTAGAAGCCACGAATTATAAACCAGCTTAAAGTTGAAATGGATCAGTTCAGAGACCAATGTAACATCCTATCTTCCTACAAAGAAATTGACTATCATCTGATGCATAATTATTCGTTTAAGCAATGAGCAATCCTGATAAGGTGAAGGTCCATCTTCATGTTGCAAAATATTTCCAAATATATATACAAGTACTAATCACTCAGAGCCTGAATCCTTTTCATTATTGTTCAAAATATCAGTCATAAAGGAAATGTAAACGATTGCTAAGCGTAGCGTCTCAATTCTAGACAGTCGCTTTTCGTAGGCAAAAGTTGGCACCTTTTTTCTTAACTGATCAAAGGCTTCATTGAGGCTGAACATTCGTTTTCTCTCCCTTATATTGGCAGCCTGTCGCTGGGCACAGGTGATCACCCGCTTCCTTTTGGGTCTGACCATCAGGGAGGTGAGGGATCCCATCTTGAATGATGTGGAATGGTCTCCAAATCGAGCCAGCTGCACCCTGTCCTCTCCAAAGGGAACCGATTCCTGGGAAAACGTCTCTATCTCTGCAAAATCACACAGCCTGTCACATAGATCCACACCGTGCTCCGAGCTGGGTTGTGTCTGCCCCGACCCTGGTGATCCGAGGGCAAAATCAACTTCTGTAACCAAGTCCAGAACAGAGGAATCCACGAAGTCTCCTTGAAATTCCATCGCCTTCTGCAGCCTCAAAGTATATATTTCAGGAGTGAGTCTAAAGAAGCAGGTGATAACATGTCAGTAAAGGGCCAGGGACGATATCATTTAGGTTTTTTTTATCGCCTGATGTGCGAGGACATCAATATTTATAGTCAGAGAGTTAACAGGATTTAAAAACAAAATAATAAAAGGCCACTACAAAAGAAAAGTGTCTAAGCTTAACGCTGATGAAAGCAGACAAGCGGCACCCACAGGCGCGTGGATACCTCAGGGAGAACTTTAATAATGATTGCATCCTGTCAAAGCGATCAACGTTAGATCCTTGTTGGCATGAGTCCCCCAGATCTTACCTGCTGTGTGTTTTTATCTCTCCTTAACATCCTTGGAGCGCATTTATTTCGCCGTTCCCCCCAAATCAGCCAGAGTGGCTCTCCGAATGGCCGAGTTATATTCTGGTGCAATCTCCAGGCCTTGGGATTGCGTCTTTTAGTTGACGCCAGACAAGTGCATGTGTGGTTTAATGGTGTTGGGAAGAGGGGACCTTCACACAAAGGGTCACCGTGGATTGTTGGCGTTGCATCTCAGTGCGATGGGAGTTGAATAATGGGATCCCCATTATACTAACTAAGCAGTGAAGGGAACCGTATATAACATTCCCTCCAGTATCTGTTTGAGACCGCTCTCTTCAGCAAATACCTTAAACAATCACCCCATGTAGCAGCGCAAATAAGGAACCAAGATTTTTTTAATTGCGTTTTATCTTTTGTACACGAGCTGTCGAGACTTTCAGTGTCATCGGTCAATGGCCAAAGTGGATTTCGCGTTTATACGGTTATTTAGTTTTTAATGCGTTTTTTTTTCTCTCCAGAAAAGAACACAAGCGACGTTTTGTAAAACAAAATAACGAATTATTCATTTCCAATGAAAATTGCACAAAACTCCTTAGGCTGTTACTTTCCCTGATATGGTAATTGGTTGGCTTTTTCCCTTGTTGTTTATTTCAGTGTTTTAAAATACTCTTCTTGCAATATTCCGGATAAATGTCCGGATAAATGTATTATTTTCACATGCATTGTTCAATATGTTTTGCATTGAACTGGTTAATTTTTCATTAACGTGTATTTTTGTTCATGGTGATTTGGTTCAACCGGAATGCATGATATTGATTTTAAATAAATTTAAACACCAGTCTTTATATTTGCAGCACTTAAATGTCGTGTTCCTGTCTGAAGACAGAGACAATTTCAGTATTGTTCATTTTTTTTTGTAAGAATTGGATTTTTTTCTTTATAATTACAGACCAGACAATTACTCTGCTGCTGTTGAACTTTAAATATAAATTTCATACATTCACGTCGCAAAAGTGCGTTGTTTCTGTATGAAATAAAACGATGTCTTCTGGTAATATTTCAGATATCAGACAATATTGCGCTTTAATGGTTTCAAATAGTATGGGATGCTCCAGGCTTTCAGCCAATGTTTGCCTTTGATCCGCAAGGCGGAGCGCCTCACCGAGGAGAGCAACTGATGACCTTTCCCCATTTGTCCCAATTGAAGTTCGCCCAACACCATAGTCCAGTTCGTCTACTTAAATTTGACAAGAGAGGTGAATTTTAGTTTACGCAGCAGTCAGTTATTTGGACCTCAGTTCCATTTAAACCGTTAAAGATCCAATGTAAATTTTAAAAATGTTTGATCCAAACTGCAATTTGTCCACCTTCCAACTGCATTAATGTTCAAAAAAACACATTAGGATACCTGCTTCCATGTTTTCACCAAACGTGCTTGAAAACCAATTGGTGAGTCCACTGGAAACTTTCTACCATTTCTGTGTGCTTCAGTGTGAATAAAAACGCCCCTCCTGGTACAACCCAAATACACAGCAGAAGGAGGACCCAGTTCTCATCTGTATTCATGATGGCAAAAAACACCCAATAGTAGGTAGGAAGATGAAACTTGAGCCATCAAATTTATGTTGTCTTTTTTTTAATTGAAGTTTTCTTTTTAAAATTGTGCTGTAAGTGATGAGCAATAACTATTGCCCAAATTATCCTTGCGGTGCTGTAGAATGGAATTAAATATGAGAATAACTTTTCTCCTTGTCCTATCACTTTAATGATAACAAAAACCCAAAGAATGTCAAGCTTGTGGCGTAGAAGACTTATCCAAATAATTTTTCTTCATGGTTCCAGCTCCTGGACATGCAACAGAGGAGTTTCCATTTACAAAGTCCAGGACTAAGCAGTGGCAAACATTTAACCCTGGCCTCTTGCCTTCTGTTAGCCTGGCTGGTGTCAGCCTGGCTCAATTGCACGCTTTGCCTCTGAGTCAAAAGACTGAGGGTTCAAGCCCCATGTTGGACCATTTTGGACCTAGGCTAACACACCAATGCAATGTTGAGGGTGGGCTGCTTTGTTCAAAGTGCTGTCCTTCAGATGAGATCTTAAATCAAAGTCTCTGTCTGTCTGTTCAAGTGAATGTTAAAAATTCCACTATTTGAAAAGAGAAGGGAGTTTCTCCTGGTGTCCTGGCTAATAATCCTCAAATAAAATTGGTTACTCACTTTCATGATTGTTTGTGGGACATTGCTGTGCCCAAATTGGCTGCCACATACACTTACAATAATAATAATAATTCTTAGCCAATTCTTTGATGTAGCACCTTGTGACATCATTGAGATGTCTCAAAGCACTTCATAGGATATACTGTAAAGTGAATTGACTGTGTATTTCAAGGGTGAAGAAATACCCAGTCACTACATTTTACAGTATATCTTGTTGAGCACTTTGAGTAGCCCTCCTAACATGAAAAGTGCTAAATCAAATGGAAGGATATTATTATTTATGGTAAAAGGGGAAGTGGTAGCAGGGTGTAGGAAGGTTTCAGCTTTCACTCAACTGTCACTCAGAACCATAGAGGTGGAGTTGGGTTCACAACAGGCATGTCTCCTTGCCAAGGACTCCATTCCATTCAAGGCAGGATTAAGCAGTTGGTATTGAGTAAACTTAGCAGACAGCATTGGTCTCTAGAACATCAAAGTGGCTGGCACATCAAAAGTTATCCTCATGAAAGAAAAGAGAACTAAAGATTAGGAGTAATCCAATCTATAAAATCATGAGAGGCATAGAAAAAGTAGAAGCAAGGACGCTTAGAATGGAGAACAGAACAGAACTTAGGTTAACATTTAAAAGAAAAAAGAGGAAATCTAGAGATGGGATATATTGCATATTTCTCCACAGAGTAATGGACATGTGGAACAGATTTTCAGCAAAAGAAGTTGGTGCTGGATTGATTAACCATGTCAAATGAGAATTTGGTAATTACTAGACTGATAACTGCATTGTAGAATACATGGAATAGTGTTGCCTAAATATACTAGAGTCATTTTCTTTCAATGAAGAAATCTTCAGGCTTCCACCTGGACTTCTCAGTGTCCTCCAGGAATGAATTAATCTAAACGTACTCTCTCATGAAAAACAAAACTGGATGTCAGTCCTTTTTGGCTCTGGGTTAGAAGATTGTGGGTTCAAGCTTTACATCAGCACTTGAAATCATTGTCTAAGCTTCACTCCAGTTCAGTACTGGGGGAAACATTGCATTGTCAGTGTTGTCTTTTGCATAAGACGTTAAACCAAGATCCCTTGGCACTATTCAAAAAGAAAAGATAGTTTCTCAAGGGTCTGGGCCAATAATTGTCCTGATTCATTGATCATTTGTTTCATGGGTTTTTATTGGACCTAGCTGTTGTTGTGGGAAACATATACAGTTCCTATATTTAATGGTAATTGCCTGTGAAATGCTTTGAGATGTTCCAGGATCTAGATTAAGCAGCTGGTGCAAAGTTTGGTACATGGCTTTGGACCCGGGCCTGTACAACATCAAGGTGGCTACAGCAACAACAACAATTTGTACTTATATAGTGCCTTCTATGCCAGGCAGCATCTCAGAGCGCTTAACAATGGTGGAGCCCAAGGCCAAGCCATGGGAGAGGGAAGGTGACCGTAGGCGCAGTCGAAAAGGAAGGTCTTCAGGCACCACCTGAAGATGGGGAAGGACGGGATGAGGCAAAGGGGTTGAGTGAGTTCCAAAATTTTGGGGCATAGTGGCTGAAGGCACGGCCACCGATGGTGGAACGGAGGATTCGGGGGACGCGGAGAAGGCCGGATCCAGTAGAGCGGAGGCAGCGGGTACTGCTGTGAGGAGAGAGGTTAGAGAGAAATGGGAGTGCCAAGGAATGGAGGGATTTAAACACTGGAGTGAGGATCTTGAAGTCGATCTGCTCTGTGACAGGGAGTCAGTGGAGTTTGGCAAGGACTGGAGTAATCGGTGTACAAAGTTTGGTGCGGGTGAAAATGCGGGCGATGGAGTTTTGAATGAGCTGGATTTTGTGGATAGTGGAAGAGCGGAGACCGGCGAGGCATGTCACAAGCTCCCCTGTAAAGATCCTGACACTACACTGAAGGTAGATGTCCATCAAGTAGCTGATGAGGAAACTTTGAGCTGGTTAAACTCCAGCAATACCCACCACACACTCTGAACAACATTAGCCTTGGCTCTGATTAACATGCGGCTAATACTCTCCAGAATTAGATAAGCATCCCTCCAGGGACAGTTTATGCAGTCCATTCCAGACTTGGGAATTTCCATGTATAAGTGTCAGACAAGGAACAGTCAGTTTGTTTTCAGCACTCTTAAACATGGTGATGGTATCCTGCATAGGTACCTGACTGATCAAAAAAAATGTATTGATGTGAAAAGTTTTTTTTCTTACTTTTTTAAATCATCTTTTCTCTGTGAGATCTTTCATATTTGCTATTGCTAGGCAAGTTGTTTCAGCCATGCATTTCTGAAAGAGTGAAGTGTTTAGGATTATGCTGAACCACATTTCTATTCTTAATATCTGTCTGTGCTCTTGTAGCTATGGTTCCATTATAATTTGTGAAATAGAGTGCTGGACGTGCCTTACTTGGCAAACTCTTTTTAGTTTCCTTTTTTCGCTCAGGAAAGAAGCAGTT